ATTATCAAAAGTATTATAAAAGGAAAATAGATACTTAATTTTTGGTACCTTGATTTATATATAGGTGAATAGTATATAATATCTGGTATGACGATGAGATTAATTTTTTGTTGTTATCTGATTTGATTATAAAATATAAAAATAGTGAGTTCTAGCTATATAATTTTTGGTACCCAGGTTTTTATATAGGTATTAAAGATTTTTTATAGAATATAGGCTTCTTGAGCGATCTAAAAAGCAAAATAAATAAAATGTACCAAAAAAGTGTCCTAAAACTTCCATTATCACCTTATTTAAACACCATAGGCGCATTTTATCACTATCAAAAAAAAAAATTTATTACAAAATATAATTTTATAAAAACTACAATTACTTTTTGATATTATTTATCAAAATACCTTCTATATACTCTCTTTTAATTCTAATATTTTATCTGAGTTATTACTTTTTATCTTTAAAAATATTTTTTTCAACTTTATTACTGTTTTCTTTACAAAGTTAAACTATAAAAAAATATTTTATTTATACAATTTTTTATCTTACAATTTATTTTTCAATATACTCATATTTCAACTAATCTTGCTTATTTATATTTCTTCTTTTATAATAAATATTAAACTATTAACTATACTAAATTTTATCTTAATCTTGATTTTAAATCTATTTAACTTAGTTTATATTTTAATACTACTTATTATAATTCTAATTATATATTACTAGAAATTAAACATAACTCCAATATAATATTTATATTATTTTAATATTGTCTTATAATAATTTTTTAAAATATTTCATAAAGATATAGCAATGTAGCAATATAGCAAAATGGTAGAGTTGTCACACTTCCAAGTTTGTTGGCTATAGTACTGAGTTCGAATCTCACTAAAGATATTTTGAATAATTTACTTGTGTCACAGTAATAGCTTATTCTAAATTGGGCTGGGTTTTATACCTATAAACTAGGGCATATCAATATTCTGAGTTGGCACTGGAAGTCATAGAAGCATTTGTATTATTGCACAAAGAAATACAAACCAGTATAGGTGATGCAAATCTATAATAAGCCTTCTAGAATCAATATATATTAAAAACCTACACATAGTAGCCTGAGAGAACTAAAACTAGCTTGGCAAATCCCAATTAAGGAAGTAGCAAATTGTTCTAACCAGGTGTTACCTGATACTACAAAACAGATCTGACCGGACCCCAAAAATTAGAGAAGTTGTACAACAAAGATCTTACAAGCAAAAGAGATCTACCAACTAGGCTGCCAAGTTATTTGAAGGAAAAAGTTACATGTTATGAAATTGTGAACCAAGGATTAGAAGACTTTCAGAATTGAGCCTAGAAAATTTAGGTCTGGGCAAACCGATTCTTCTAGACCAACTGAATTGGAAGAATGACAATACCAAAAGGAGTAAGGTATGGAAAGTGATAAATTGTAGTACAAGGATTTGTGAACTTTAAAAGGGTAAAAGTAGGTAATAGTAGGGGTTTAATAGTTAGCCTTGACCCCAGGTGTATAGGCAATACTATAGCATAAATTACTAAAGTCTAGATAAATATATATATGTAAATGTACTACTCTGACAGGATTATTTTGAGGATAAATAAAGACATATGGTTTCATAGAACTCTGATGCAACTTATATATTATTAAAAAAGAAAATTTTGTATAGAAAATTATCAAACATTGCTTTTTTATATAGTAAATTATTTTAAAATTTGCTCTATTTTATATATCTATTTAGCCAAATTTATACAAACTTTATACAAACTTAGATCTAAGTTGTATCAAAGTTCTTTGGGGGTCCTGGTCCTATTCTAAGTCTGGCTGTTAATCTAGTAGTATCGTATAAATCCATGATACTCTGGTAATATGGTAAGGTTACACCCAGGTCTTAAGTCCTATATGGTAAAAGTAAGAATATAATTAGTGGGTTTAAACAGGTACCCCATATAGTGGGTGCAAATAGTGTAGAACTCTTAGCATAGCACTACTACTTTGGGCAGACTACTTAAATTAGGCACCAAAAATGCACATGTAGTTATATATACTCTTGTTGTAACTGAAATAATACTTAATAATAATAAATCTCCACTGACAAAGAGGTTATCTTAATACTGAAAAAAAAATAAAAAATAAAAAAAATAAAATATTTTATATTTTTTCTTTTAAAACATAATGTACATCTTTTAATATTTGGTTTTCTAAATTCTACTACACTTATAAAGAATAATTTTCATATATTAATTAGCAAAAAATTTACAATTATATTAAATTTTAAATATTATTTTTCTTTTTAATAATATTATATTAAATTTACTATTATTTTTTTTTTAATAATCTAAAATAACTACTTCTAAAATCTTATTAATTTATATTTATTACTTTTGTGTAGTGTGACCAAGGTTTCAAATCATATATATAAATCTATAAAAGAACTAAAATCTGCTATTATTTGAAAATCTATATCTTAAGCCACCTGCAACTTCTAGATTATATATATGAATCTTGATTTGTAAACTAGCCTATTTTAAGGAGCTAACAATTATCAGGTGATTTTCTAGCAAGGGGGTCAAAAAAATTAAAATTTTATATGTAAGGCCTAATCAATTATATATTAAAAACTAGAGGGAGAATAAGCCTCTAATAAAAAAAAATCAGATAATAAATGACACTGCCCTTAGTAAATGTATTACTTAAAATAAGTAGAATAAACACTATTGATTTTTTGAAAATAAGTTAGAAAGCCCACTTTGTTAAAATTTTAAGAAAGCTAAATAGGCAAGAGAGTATTATACTAACTTAAAAGAGTATATAGAAAATATACTATACTAACTATTATATATAACCAAGTATTTTCTTTTGCTATATATATATATATATTTCACTTTAATAACCTCACACTAATTTATTAGAAGCTTTGTAATTTACAAATTTAACTATCTAATTTATATATTAGGCCAATACCTGGCTGCTTAAAGTGCCCAAGTATAGTTTTTGCACTGATGTTTGCCAACTGGCTCTATATATAGTGCTATCCATATTCAAAAGCCTGATATAGCATAGTACTCAGCTACTTAAAAATTTTTTAAAAAATAAAAAATTCTATTCTACTCTAATTTTACTTTAACCACCAGCTAGGTAGAATTTTCTTTTGCTATAGCTTTGGTACTGCTTAACAAAACTTTCAACAATATTTACCATATCACACTGCTTATAGTACCCGGGGTTTTATTCAAAAACACCATTTTTAAAATTGAATAGTACCGGGTACTATTCACGAATCCAGCAATTTCATTGGTGGAGAAGGGGTACTTTATGTGGTAGGATATTATTTAAGGGAGATACTATAAGCAGTGCGATACGGTATTACTTCTTTGCTTGGCAATACCAATATCTTCCAGTTTCAAAAGACTTCACTTAAAAAGGTTTGACTCTTTTTCAATCTATTTCTATTACAACCAATCCAATAAATAGCCTCATTAGTTCTAGTAGCTGTTGTGTTAGAGAAGTTTTGTTATGTTAGTATACAATAACAGTGTAGTTTGCATAGGTCAGTTTTTTAGAAAAGTTGGTATGAGGGATTGTTGGGAAGAGTTGTGAATTTGTAAATTTTGTATAGTAACTTTGTAACATAATATAAATTTGCTAAATATTTTTTTGATAAATTTTTTTATAAAAGTTGATACATTATGAAAATTACTATTGTTTTATATATAATAATTGCAGTATATACTTTAATTTTAAATACAGTCAAACCTCTCTATAGTCACCTCCCATATACCATATTGTCGCGAAATAACGGGCATGAGCGTTATTTAGAGGTTTGGCCCGAATTAAACTTAATTTCACCCATGCGTGTTATTTCGCGACAATACGGTAAGCACATTTTCTTTATAAGCTTATTTTTTTAAAAACTATTTACTATTAAATATAATAAATTTGATCTATATAATTAGCACACTTCTCTATAATCACGCCTTTTTGTACCCCGTGGGTGTGATTATAGTGAGGTTTGACTGTAGTTTTTAAAAAATAAGCTTATAAAAAAAAAAAGTGCTTATATGGGAGATGACTATAGAGAGGTCTGGCTGTATAACTTTTATATAGTATTACTTCCTATAAATAATTCTATCCCGTATAGCTTTTTTATTACTTGCGTTAAAGATATAACAAAAACATTAACAATATTACAAACAAATACATATTTCAAGTTTTACTAATTTATAGATCTAGTTTTATTAGACTAAAAACTACTTATTTATACGTACGCATACAAACTAATCTGGTTTATATTACATAACCACGCGTTTACAATCACCTATTATTACAATTACCAACATAATTATTTAAATCTTTTTTTAAAAAAGTATCTGCTTGATAAAATTGCACAACTACAACAAGCTTATTTTTTCTGCACAGGCAGATTAGTAATAGATATCGCAACAAGGGTCGTATACTTACGCTATAACTTACATAATAACTTACATAATTTTAAGATTTTAACTAAGTAAACATAAAAATTACTTGCAAGTTGCAGTGTAAGATACATTAAAATTTTAAAATTTAATGTATGTTTACAACTGTAATCGCAACCAAAATACTGTATATCTGGTGCAAACTGATAAATCACATACCGATACTGTAGCTATTAGCACAAATTAAATCCTGTCCATTATTAGCTTATTTGACCATTACAGCATTAGGTAATTACATTTAGGGACATGTTTTATGATTGATAACGTTTAACTGCACCAGTGATTTAAATTTTAATAATTCTAAAATTTTACTATATCGTTATGTCAGTCATGTTCGGAATATTATAACCAATCATAATCACTAATTGAGATGTTCTTTCACGTGATTGCGTGATTTTTTAATTTATAAAATTTGCGATCTAAGATCGATTTTCAACCAATTCGATTTACTTTGGTATATCGATATTGGTTTGATTAATAAAATTGTAACGAAATGTCATCAGCTAATTCATATGTATCAGGATTACTAAAAATGTGGAAACAAGCACGTTTACCATGGCGTCAACGAATATTCGTGGGTTCAGATTTACATGGAAACGAATATTATGAGAGTAATCGACCTATTAATGGACGAAAAAAACGGATAGTAGAGATGAGAGAAAATAAGCCTTTAGGAGAATTTAATAGTGATTCTTTACCTGGTATATGATGTTTTTAGAAATTGTCTAATCAATGAACAATTGATTAAATTGAAATGTTTATTTAATTCTATTATTTAAAATAATTTGTTCACAAAAGTGCAATGGCAAAGTTGGTTAAGACATACGAGACATGAACCTCCTACTATAGAGGTATTTCATTGAATTAGTTAAGCGAATTTTAATATTAATTAATTAATATCTGTTGCTTCGTTAAGGAAATTATTATGGCTAATAAACGAAGAGAATTAATTATTCAAAGAGCAAAGGCTTTGGATAAAGATTGGGAACGGGTAGGAAATCGGTGAATGGCATAGATTAGACTACCTAAACTTTATTATTTGGTTATGACTTTCGGGTGAACTGAAATTAAGACTTTTTTATATCGTATATTATCGTATATATGCAGAATTATATCTACATAATATGTACAGTATACTGTATATATTATATATACTGTACATATAGTTGACAGTCGAATTCTCTATAACGAACTCTGAATGTGACTAAATATAAAATTTTAATTTTATATAGAAAGTATGGTGAGTTCTTAAGGAAACAATAATTTTATATAACGGGGTTTTTCTTTTTCAAAACCATCGGTTCGTTATAGAAAATGTTGACTAATAAAAGTTACTAGATAAAAATTTTCACATAAAATTTATGCCAGTTCCCATTTTTGTGAACTGATTTATTAAGATATATTGCTTTATAATTTTTTGTAAATGCGATTGGTTAAATATTATAGATAACATGCAATAAAAAATGAATTACTGACTCTACTTTTGTTCGTGCACAATTTTTTAGCGCAAAGAATTGTCACGGGGAGAAATACCTGATAAATCAAAACAAATGGAATTTGAAGGTGGAGACGGTGATGTATTAAATGCTATTGCGTACAGTGGTGGGAGCAAAATAATTCGTCATTGTCTTTTATACGCATAACAAGCCATAGTAAATATGACTTAAATAATTGTAAAGTTATTGATGAAGTGTGTAAAACAAGTGTTGAATTATTTACTCCCTATATATATTAGCAATTCGTTTCTCTCGTACCAACTTCCACTATACTATATTTTTAATCTTCAAATATTTATTAATAACGTACAAATACCAAATTATCTCTTAAACTCACAACTTATAAAACAAAAAAAAAAAAAAAAACAGCCCAAAAAAAGCCAGCTCAAGATATTCCATTTCGCCCTCCAACCATACCTAGTGGCACTTTTGAACCTGAATCTTGGGAGCCTGGGGTTGCAAGGAAATAAGTGGATACTTTTTCTTATACTGTTTTACTCTACTGCTGGTGTTATACGTGTTATACGAAAAGGATGGTATGTAAGTTTCTAAGTTTTTTACGTGTACAACTTATGTATATGGATTATTGAATAGCAAGGTGCTATTCAACCATAAATCATAATTATCTGTAAATTATCATTTATTATTTTTGCACGCCGAAAAATCATTTTGAATAGAGTATGTGAATTTGGATAATTTATTTTTTAATTTATTTAGATGTCAATTCTATCTGATAAAAGGTAATCATGGGTATTTTGGTATTATTTATTAATATTATCAAACTGATATTTTTTCATAATCTTTGGACATTTCTTTCTGTTGAATATATTACTTAAACAGAAAATCATCTAAAGTAATTTCATCTAGTATGATTTAACTATATCCCGAATTTTCTTGTACAGATCGTTCATTATATTACAAGTGTCAATATTGATACGACTTTTATCTTTTCCATTGATCATTATTGCTTGTTGTTCATTTATCAATTCGTTATATCGAGAGTAATTCGAATAAAAACCTTTGACAAGTGACTACGTAAAATTTTAGATACATCAACAAAACTATCATATGATTTATATCCATATTAGAAGTATTATTATTAAGTTTTATCCATATTATGATTAGAAACATATATTATTTTATTTTATGAAAATTTTGTTAAATATATCATGTTAAATTTGATCCAGATTCATATTATGGCCTTAAATGCATCGAATAAGGAATATATAGCTTTTCTTCAGTAGTCAGTTCTGTATAATTTATCGGCAACTATGTGGTTTCTGCCGAATAATAAATTATCTGACAGACAAATCACATAAACTGCCGGATAAAAATATTTATATTTAATGTTATTTTAGAAAATCATTTTTTTTTACTGTAAGTCGCGACGTTATTTCGAGGGGGGATTGCATTTTTTAAAAACATATTTTAGTTTAAAATGACTCTCAGGCGTGACCTAAATAACACCTACCTTGTATGTATTAGCGGATTTGATATATGTCATTAGGCTGACCCTTTGTTTCAAAATAACGCGCACGTTATTTCGTGACTATAACAAATTTTCTGTAATTATTATATGTATGATCTGCATAACTTGACCAAAAATTCAGATCCCGGTTTCGCCTGGTGTTATAATTCGGAAGCGCCAACGCCTATGAGTTATGACATCGAATAACGCAAAATTGTATTATAGAAACCTAAAGTTTTTTTCAGAATTAATTTTACATGTTTTATAAGCATTCAGTATGAACATTCTGTGAACTGTTTGCAAAACATCCAAATGTACACCAAGTCCTTATTGATTTTGGTCTAGTTGGGCTTCTCTTTTATATGAGGCTGCATGTTTCCGTTGGCTCCTATTGATATGTGCTCTAATACGCGCATTATATCCCTTTCTTATTGCAATACTCATTAGATTATTTGCTTACAAGATCTTTTCTTTAACAGTGATTATGAACGTGCGGTTCATCCGTTAATTTCTTTAATTGAGCCTATCTTTTCGACGGCTACAATTTGAATCTAGTCCAAATAAAAAAAAAAGTACTATCTAAAGGACATTATTACCCATGTATTTTCCACGTTCGGTGGCACACATTTCCTCGACAACTAAGTTTGGCACGATTTAGAGTTAAGATTGGGCCTGATTTAGAGCTAGTGTTGGTAGGAATTAGATGTCTAGGAAATTATTCGGAGAAATCACTACTTGGCGTGTACCAATGGTTCCATTAATAAGACCCTCAGAAGTAAGAATTTCACAAAACGTTACTACCCTAAGAGAAGGGGTGCCAAAGACGGTTCACTAGGTAAGTTCTATAAGTTCCTTCATACTTACTAATTAATAGTTCTTTTAAGTGGGATATCTATTCTATGGCGATAATATTTCAGATTAGGATTAATGTAACAACTTTGCGTAATAATGGCAGCATAAAGAAGAACGTGCAATTCATTGTTTGTTAAAAATTAAGCCTTGATGGCGTGGGTGAGCATAACCAGCCATCGATACGTAAATCCGAACAGACCTAAAAATTCTGTCATATTGCATATTTGCTATGTCTATATGATATGAGTGACGCCAAGGAAAATTGGACATTGGTTAATCATTGATTATTTATTTAAATAATAAATGATAAATCAATGTCCCATTTTCCTTGGCGTCACTCATATAATAGGTTGATAAGCATTAAATGTTGTTATAGACGAGAGTTTTTTAATAGCCATTGGTAAACGCGATCATAGAACTGTTCTCTGAATGGTCGCCAGCCATGCATTTATAAGTTTTATTATATATCGATATGGTTTAATAATAAATTAATAGAGGAGGGCTAGAACATGTCCGTTAGACATAATGACTTTTTTTACTATTCAATCTGTTATTCAGTTTTAAATTGTCATTAAATTACGGTATTTCAAACTTAACCGTTAAATCAGTGAATCCGGCGTAAGGTTGTTATTTATACGTGAGTGAATTTCAATTACTAATGATCAGTTAGGATTAAAGAAATGATAATCACTTTGTTAATTAATGCTTGTTTACATCTATTCGTTATCGGAGAAATTACACTTACGTATAGAGATCGCGTTACGACTCATAGCAAATTATAGTTCATCACGGGTGACGTATTTAAAGATTATCACGATTCAGAGAACACTCCTCGAGTCGACACGGCTTGTACAACTCGATTCACTCATGCACTTAAACCAAGTTGACTCGAGCTTACAGCATCCAATTATTATGGGTAGTAATAACTATATTAATGCGTAGCATCGTGCCTGAAGCTTATTAGAATAATGATTCGCATGTTTTTGTTAGTGTGAACATGGTAGTATAAGCCAACTAATAGTGTCAATCCTGGAAACAAAAAAGCAACTCGAATTTTCAAATTTGAACAGTGGGGTTTCAGAATTTATGGGTGCTTAAAAGGTCCTATTTTCTGTTTTAAAATTCCGAACCAGAGAATTAAATAGCCGTGCCCGGTGATAAAAATAAGCTTCTTTTAATAATATCTACTGGTAAGCAATTATGCAAATAAGTATATACTTTTTGAAAAAATAGGAATTATAGACCATTTATTTTGAAATAAATACGTCACTTATATTTTCTGAAATCGGACGTCAAATCATTAATTCTGAACCCCCAATAAATCTACGCAACTTATCAATTTTGATTCAGCAACTTGGGTCCAGAAGATTAATTGTTGTTAATTGGTGTATCATACTCTGGAGCACACAGTTTGAACCAAAACCAGACCGGAGTGAGTTGTAAAAATATCAAATAGAATATTTAACCCAATTTGTTAAACTAGAGAGAACCGGAGTATTATATTAAAAACTTAGCACTGTCAAGCTGATTTGGGTTAAAACTAATTTCAAACCAACCCAACTCAACCCAAACATTAATAATCCTCTCAAAATAATTTATAGGAATAATATTTATTATATATTTAATCTGAAAAGTTTTAATTTATATATCAATAGACATCATTAAACCAGGGTTGTGAATAGACAATAGACAAGTCAATAGACACTAATGGTCCAATGGGTGTCTAATTGAATCATTAGACAATAGACAAATTATATAGTAATAATAATTTATTTTTTGTAATTGTATTCTTAATGATACTACAATAGTAACATATTCAAGATTAAGATTTTGTTTGAATACATATCCAGTATGTTTATGGAAATTTATATAAAATTGTTCTTGCAAACTAGCAGATCTTAATAACAAACATAAAGAGTACTAAATATAAGCTATCATAATAAATATATTATATAAACAAGTGCTAATAAAAAAAGTTCAATATGGACAAGAATTTAAAAACTAGACTAAAAAAAATTAACTCAATTGAAATTGTATCAAAAATTATAATCAAAAATTATAGTAAAATTTATAAAAGTATTTTAATATAAATAATAATAAATTTTTAAAATAAAACCAAAAAAGCAAATTTTTGTGAATCAGATGAACCTTCAGCTTGTTCATCTATAATAAATATCTTAAAAATGTCTAGCTTGTCTAAAGTAACAACTATTGATCTAACTTATTAAAAATATAAACTAAAATAATAATATCAATATATATTATATTTATTATTAGCAAGATACACAAATTATTATGTAGTTGTTTATTATTGAAATAAAAAACTTAACAAAACATCTAATATTTAATAAACTACTCAGAATTGATAAAGACTATACAAGAATTAATTGTTTTATTTTAATTATTAAATATAACTATAGCGATAGTAATTATTGAGGGTTTGCTTTTTTGCATTTTTTTTATTTGTAGTAAATGTTACAGATTAAGCAGAAGTACTTTCTCTTGTACATACATACATCTAACCCAGAATGACTTTAATTTCATGTTCTACATATTTTGTTTAGCAAATAAGTATGATTATGATATATATCAATTTTACATTTGTTTTTTAAACCAAAAAATACTGTTTTTTTTTATTTATTTTCTCTGCTATTCCTCTTAACTTCTTGTAAACTATATTATACTTTTTCTTTTAATTAATTACTAATCACGCTATATCAGTATCTAACTTTATAGATTGTTAAACAATTCTAAACTTAATACAAGAGCTTCTTAGCAACAAAATTTTTAGCATTAAGAATTTATTAGTGCTGATTATGATATTTTTCTTATATAATCTGGAATTATAAATTGATTGGACCAATAGACCAATAGACATATTGTCTAATGAAAATTTTATTTAAATAAACATAGAATCAAATTTGCAATTTTGGTTACACTATCTAAACTATTCTCAACCAAATCGAATAGACATTAGACAATTAGACAATTAGGCAATTAGACAATCCCATTTTTGATTAGGCTATGTCTATTCACAACCCTGATTAAACAGTAAATTTTCGGTTATAAAAGAAGGTATAAAGACCTGAATTTTAAATTTGAGAATTCTTCATGGGATAATTGGACTTTGCAAAAACCTATGTTTTTTGCTAAATATGTTTACAATATATTTATTATATATTGATGATTTAAAATAGTATATAATAAATATACTTTGAATACATATTAATCATATAATAATTATATTTTTCTTTCTGCTAATAATATGTTTGTTATATAGATACAATATAATTTTATATATAAAATAATCTGTTATTAATCTAATAATAATAAAAAAATTCCAATATTTTAATAATATAATAGTCCTATAATAAATATATTAAATTATTTATAATATGTTTATAATATGTTTATAATATTAATAAGTTTCTTACAAGAGAGTTAACAGAGCCTACGAAGACTTTTATTATATGTTAGATATATGCTGTTTATATTTTTAAAAAATCAAGGTTTCTGTAAAGGATGTCTTTTGCGTTTAAAAAACGCGTTCTTTACTTGATCATGCAAACCATTCCTGTTAACTACTATTGCAGGAAAATAACACAATTCTGCTTCATATATTTATCTTCATATATTTATTACCGTATTATTGCGAAATAACGTTCAGCTGCGCGTTATTTAGAGTACGCTCGTGAGCGTTATTTTGAGACAAATTTAAACGAACCTGATTTTTTCAAATAAAGCCCATGTGCGTTTTATAGATACAAATTTTCTCAAGTATTTAAAATTTTTTAAACAATAAATTGTTTAGCTGTTTAGTCCAACTGGCTTAATATCAGTCTCGAAAACTTTGATCATTCAGAGGTAAATTTAGTACAGTTAAATGATTAATTATCAACTTGCCTACCTATTATATTAAAATTTAGCTTGTCAATTTTTCGGAATGATAATGTTCACATCTTTCGGTGTTACGTATAATGATTCACATCTTTCGGAATTATAATATTTTCACTTTCGGAATTATAATGATAGCTTGATATGTCGTAAATTGGGTTTTTGCTAACAATCCCGGAGGGTGATTTTGTCGGCAAAGATCCCGTATGTAAGAATAATTAACGAAGGTATTGATAAATAAAATGATGTTATAGTATGTAATGTATCGTAGTATAGGATAGTATTGAAAAAATAAATAAATAAAATAAATTGAAAAGAAAGAAGTTAACTCGCTCAACAAGATAAAAAAAGATTGAAACAACGATAATAAACGTATAAATTATAAATTTAAAATGAACCAGAAATGTATAGAAATCATTTGATTACTGCCAAGAAAAAAAGACATCGGGCTTTCAAGTTTATTATTTATAATTGATAATGAGAGCCCCGAAGTCTCATTCTCCCTTCACAGCGCTCATTTATGAGACTTGTTTTAATTTTTACTTAATAAGAGCTATTAACATAGTTCTTTCACAGCAAACCCATGTTTAGAGTATATATATATTGATATACCGTATAAGCGCGAAATAACGCGCAGGGGTGTAATTTCGATTTTGGCCTAAATTAAACCTAATTCCGGCCATTATTCAAAATAACGCCCCTGCGCGTTATTTCGCGCTTAGCATGGTTTTGCTGTGAAAGAACCCATAACATAAATTATAATTTTAAAAGTAAGTTTTTTTTAGATAATAATTTGTTTTATCTTAAATGCAGAAATGTATGCAAAATACAAAATGACTTTTACAAATTTTGCATCTAAAAACTAAGCTTCACAGAAGTTTTGTTGTCGCCTTTTAAAGCATCACTTAAAAATCAACAGGCAAGTAGGTCGAGTAATGACTTCAGAAACTTTTTTTTTGTTAACGTTAAGACAAAACCCTAGGACTAGGTACTGAGCCCGTCATTTTAATGATGGGCTGTGTCAATAATGAGGCACGGGATGCTAGACACGTTGAGCATCTGAATTTTTAGTATATATATATATAGTATATATAAATGAATTAAAATGCTAGAGGCAATTTTAATTAGCATTCAAAACGAGTTTAAACACCCATTTTCTTGTATTTTCAATTTTTTCAGTTTTTTTTTCAGTTTTTCTTTTCTTGTGCGTGTCAGAATTAAGCCACTGAAAATCTTGATACGCATACAATAAACATGGATTTTATCGCATAGCAGATGCAATTCGCCATAGCCATCCTGAAACTTAATTGTCGCGTAGCGTGATGTCGGAGTTTCAATATTCTAACTCCGCTTATGATTAGTAATGATTACTAATCATAAGCGGAGTTAGAATATTGAAACTCCGACATCACGCTACGCGACAATTAAGTTTCAGGGGTAGCGATACATCGCTATGGCAGTAATTACAAAATTCTAATTGGATAATTTTTTTGGCAGGTGTAAACATAACGATACAGGACCCGGGATTTTAATAGTGAACCAAGAACACAACGTGTTCCTCGGAAAAAAGCGGAAAACTAACTTTTTTAAAAAATCTTGATAGAAACTTATCGCACAAACAGGCCGTAGAGCAGAACCTGTCACAGCAGAAAATCGGGATAATCAGAGATCACAATTTTACATTCTATAATAACTTTCCTTTTCGAGTTTGTATCACAAATAGCGATAACGACGTCGAAGCCAGTTCAATAGTTTGAAAAAAAGATTTTGATGAGATCTGATTGGTGCAAATTGCAGGAACCATGATTTTCTGCAACAAAATATTGCCAATTCCGTCGTGATAAAACAATTCGTGCATCATAATTCCGTAATAATATTTATAATTCTGTAATTATAAAATATATAAGTTCCAATGCTAAACTATTCTAAGTTTTATAGTTTTTATCGTGTTTGCTAATGTGAATTCTGCATTACAGCCTGATTTCGTGTTCCGTGATTCTGTAAACACAGAAAATCATCTCTGGATTGGTGTCGATCATTTACAAAAGATATAATAATATCGTCATTTTTGAATCCAAAACATTACTGCAGAAAAAAGTATGTATAGAATCTTTTTTTCTTTTCTTTTTTTTATTTATTTATCTGTTACCATTTCTCTTACACTTTCTCACTTTTACTCTAGGTAATCTTTATTATAACATACGTTTGCAATAAATTTTCTATTTCGAAAAAAACACCTTACGACTTGGTTCCACAAATTTACCAGAAGGCTTGTGAATTTCAACACTTATAAGGTGAAGTATCAAATTTTATGTTAATAACTGAATAGTTGTCGATTATTGTATGCATCCAAAAGGTTTTGCGACTCTTTAACGGAGGTTGAAGCACGTCAGGCGACAGTTACCCAACCAAATCTAATATATGGTGGACGGGCTTGTTGTGAACGTTTCAGAGGTTACTACCTCGTTATTATTGATTCTATGTTTGCAGGATTGACTAATTAAGGTATCCTTAAGAAAGTCGAGTGAACAAGAATCTAATATTAACCTTTGTGAGAAACGTGATGCATATCTTATAATCAGGCAGCTGGAAGCTCTTCGTGGCTGCAGTTATTGTGAACGTTCTTGTTTGATTTTCTATTATTAATCTTTTTTTTTTTTTTTTAATTACAGAAATATATTATTATACGAAATCGATGAAGTTCTACATACGACCGATAAATGAGGCGTTTCGTACCACAATATACAGTGGACGAACGTTTATTTTGAAACTAGAACCGATTAAACAAATACATTCTCAAGACATGTATACTAGCAAGTTATATGATACTTGTTAGACATGTATACTAGCAAGCTACATGATACTTGCTAGACATGTATACTAGCAAGCTACATGATACTTGCAAGACATATATACTAGCAAGCTATATGATACTTGCAAGGCATGTATACTAGCAAGTTATATGATATTTATAATAAGATTAAACCAGAACCGATTAAACAAATACATTCTCAAGACATGTATACTAGCAAGATATATGATACTTGCAAGACATGTATGCTAGCAAGATATATGAGGCATATATGCTAGCAAGCTATATGATACTTTTAATAAGATTAAACCAGAACCGATTAAACAAATACATTCTCAAGACATTTATACTAGCAAGATATATGATACTTGCAAGACGTATATACTAGCAAGATATATGATACTTTCAAGACGTGTATACTAGCAAGCTATATGATACTTGCAAGACATTTATTTTCATATTTTATATTTTATATTTTATATAATATTTTATACTCTGTAATTTTTTATATTTAAAAATTTTCAGAATATATTAGTAAACCGATAAGTACAATAGAAATCTCGAGCAAATTCTCAAATTTAAATCACTATCCTGGTTGTTATCTTCTAAGATTATAGGACAGATTTTCTTGTAAAGTCTTGTTTGATTTTTCAATTATTTGATTTTTTTTTTCTTTTTACTTTGTACTATTTTATGTGTCAAATGTTAGTGTATTAAGCTAGTCAAACTATAAATATTTTTAATTTCAATAATTAATATTCATATTACCCATAGGTTGTGTTAAGTTCTACATAAGACTGATAAAATTTCTGATTACACATTTAATATGAATTATTGAATATGCCATATTTACACTTAAATAAAAAGTAAATATATATATATATTGTATATACTGATGTATATAGTGTAATATAGCGTTCAAAATACTTTAATTTAGTGCAAAACTAGTGCTTGGCACAATCAAATAAAAAATTTAAAATCAAATACTTGTGGTTAAGTCGGACATCAAATGATCCTATACTATAATTAGTTTTGGTTGATCTGCGATCATTTTGATGTCCGACTTAATCACAAGTATTTGATTATCAATTTTTTTTTGATTGTGCCAAGCACTATGCAAAACTTTTAGTACGTTGTTTATGCAATTAATAATTTTCTGTGAAATGAAATTCATAAGTTTATTCACTAATTCAATATTAAATACATGATCTAAAGTAATTTTAATTTGATATATTTTTTGACCTGTGCAAAGTTATGTTGACCTTCAAATCCGAGATGGGTATTAGGTGTATTACGCTCATGGGTTGGCCCAGAATTTGCTTCCACCCGGGTTGACACTTTATATGGGGCGCACATTATTTTGAGACGCGCATGAGCGTTATTTCAAATCTGTTTTTTTCGGAGGTACGATTCTCCAAATAATGCACATGCTCGTTATTTCACAACAATACGGTTCATGGACCATCAATCAAATCAGGCTCTATAGAATTACTTGATTCACACGATTAATTTCCACAATCAGCCCTTGGGCATTTAAACAAAACCAAAGTCAACAGATCAAATCTGATGTATCTGACTTCAATTTATCCTTTTCCGTTTACTTCATGATGTTATAATTTTCCTAGCAGTATCTTTGACGAACACAGGTCGAACTTTAAAATTTCGATAAAATTTCAGTGAAATATCAGCGGAATATCGGGCGATTATAAAGCCGATAGCGACCAGATATTTGGCAACCTATCGGATAGATATTGCATCCGATAGGCCTATTAGACATCTGATAAAATATCGGATATTTTATATTTTGTTAATAGAAGTGTCAGATAATATGACTATCGGGATGCAATATCCAGCAGTGTTGGGAAATGACTGGTCATTTGATTCTAAATGACCAAATGACCTCAAATGACCCTAGGACATTTGTCATTTGGTCATCTAATATATTATATATGTATTTAAATCGGTGGTATCACGTGATTAACCAACGACCATATGTCAGCCAATAATATACAGGCAAATGTGTGTATAATTTTTCATATCAGGTCATTTAGTCATTTCAACCAAATGATCAATGACCAATTCATTTGGTCATTGGTATTTGAAGTGCCAACACTGATATCCAGGGTTGTGAATAGACAAAAGGCAAGTCAATAGACACAATAGACAGTCTAATGGTCTAATGGTGTCCAATCAAGTCATTGGACAATAGACAAATATATATATAATTTAAAGCAACCTGATTGGCTAATTTAGATTTCATAAACTGGCTAATATGTATACATTATTGGGCAAAAATTTGGGAATAACGGCAATTTGGCTCAACCGGGCAAATTGCCGTATTCACAAATTTGCCCAATAATGGTGTTATCCGACAATTTATGATCATGATTGGTAGGGAGTCACTCGTTGAGTTTTTTTTTTTTTGAATATTGGAAAAACATAATTACATCGTAACACATGAAAAAAATAACAGAAAGTTTTTCATGATCATATGAGTTTGTCGGATAAATTAGACATAAAACAAATAGACATTAGGACAATAGACACCAATAGGCAATTAGACAATTAGACAAAAATATTTTTATTAGACTATGTCTATTCACAACCCTGCAATATCTATCCGATAGGTAACAATACGCGCCAAATATCGGGTAGCTGTCAGCTTTATAAACGTCTGATATTCCACCAATATCACAGAAACCTTGTCGAAATTTTGAAGTTCGACCTGTGAAGGGATTATTTTTGGCAAATTCTCAGGATGCCTAATGTAATATAGCATTGTTTATGTATTTTGATTAGGGCGATTTCATTATCTGCAGAAAGAATGATTACGTATCCGATTAACTTACAGTTCTAGACATTATATTAGAGATATAGTATGTCACTAAAAAGACTCTTGGCTTTATCAAAATGGTTTCAAGAACAATCCGTTGGAGAATAGGATTTGGAATTGAATTTGCTCCTTCTCATGTTAGGCAATTGATTTTGTATTTGTTAAATAACTTTTCTAGGTCTCACATTTTATTTTTTGTAAGTCACCTGCATAAGTTCTTGAACGTCATTCCGATTTTTGCACTTTCTTGAGAGCCTGTAAACAAGAGGCTTCAGTTTTAGATTCTATTAAATTCATTAATGATTCATACAATAATTTATTTTCATGCAATTTCTTTTGCATTTTGATCTATATAATCATTAAGACTTTAGACATTTGAATGTCATGGTATTGTTACGATTTTCGGCTTTATCTACACGCATTTCGGCAAGAGAATTATCATAATTAACATTAACTCATCATATGATATGAATTTAAAGTGGGCCGGGGTCAAGCACGTTTGATCAGCTAAAAATACTTTTGCTGATTAAAATTTAACTGCGCCCTGATTTTCTTATTCAGTTGAATACAGCCAATAGAGGTATTCATTTAATTTCTTATTCGAGCTGATTTAGTTTATGAATCTAAAGATATTTATTAACAAAATAAATTTGACTCATTATTTATCTATTTACTGTCGCGGAGATGCTAAAATCGGATGATGTTAAATTAAAACCTAATTTTTAAAAATTTTGAGATACATCTTTTTTAGATTGGACTAAGATTTAGGGTTAGGGTTTATAATAAGAGTATAGATGGATTTTGGTAGGGCATGTGCTATATTTCCAAATTAAAGCCCCGGATTATCATCCGAGACATTTATTAATCGAAGTATTTAAAATAAACAATTTATTCGTGTTGATTTAATATGTAACGTCATTTATTAACCGAAGCACAATCAAATACTTGTGATTAAGTCGGACATCAAATGATCGCAGATCAAATATATAGTATTGGCTTGATGTCCGACTTAACTATTGACGCGCATCTGCGCGTTATTTTGGGACGCGCATGCGCGGTAATTCGAATAATTTTGACAAATTTGCGTTACAAAAAGAAACCTTGCTTTTTTTAATGAACTTGGCCTGAAAAATTCGATCGAAATATGGGGTCTTTGCCTTGAAAATGACCTTACGGGACTGTAAATTTTATGAATAAAAATTAAAATTTTTAGCTATCCAGTAATCCAATTAAAATAAACTTTTTTTATTTTATGAAGCTTAGTGAACTCTACAAAATAAAAAAAATTATTTGAATTGGATTATTAGATGGCTAGAAATTTTAATTTTTATTCATAAAATCTACATAGTCCCGTA